CGACCAGAATGGATGTCAGGAACCCAAAGCCACTGTGCCAAGAGCAACCCCACTTCGCAGGCAACTCTACAGATAAGGAGGTGCCTGCAGTTGCGGTTCTACAATGGAAACTTGGAGCTGGCTGGCACTGGGGAACTAGAAATCATTAAAATTTGAAGGGAAAAAACCTGCCAGGGGAAGTCTGTGCAGGCAGCGTGGGTACAGAGCCCACCCCGAGCTAACCTGGAGGTGTAATCCCAACATCAAAACGCAGCATTTCCAAGGGGCAGCCTGATGGGAGTCTCCTACAAGGTCCACACAAGGTTTAGAATTTCTTTTTCAATTTAAAAAAAACCCAAACAACTAAAAAACCCAAATATCCTGCAGCACTTATGGCTCTAGTGTTGGCTACAAGGGGCAAAGAGAAGGGCTGGAGAGACAGTACATGGCTGGTCCATGAGCCAAGAGGAGAACAGACATTATGGAAGAAGAACCAAACAGTTTTCATCATTGGAAAGAAAATACCCCAACAACTTGTAGGTTAAACTTGTGGACCCTCATCCCATTTCCACTTTTACTTATCCAAAGTCATGAAAGCTTCTCGGTTTTATGGAGCACTCAGTAAAACAGCCCCTGTGATCCCCACGTTGGACATGCTAATGCCCAAGCCTGCCCCTGCCTCTCCGAAGGATCAATCCTCCGACTGCAGGTCACCCTCCACAGTTAAACCCTGCAGGTCAACCTGATGACAGCAAGTTACAGAAGAGCTTCTTCCAAGGTAGCTGTAGTTTTTTTGAAAGTTAAATTTTACTTAAACCTAAAATCAGCAAAGAGAGAACATTAAACGTTGGCCAAGACACCCACCACCATGATGCACAGCATGTGGTGTGGTCCACCTCCAAACCACCCCATGATGCTGGACATCAGCCGCCTGGGTGACTGGTTGTGCTATTTGAGGCTGCCCTTCTCTTCCTACTCCAGCAGACTATTTCAAACCTTGTTTATAATTGGAAAGAGGCAGCATCTGTTTTTTGCAGACCATGAGGTCAAAACTTTACTAATAACCACAGCATGGCAAAACACCATTAGCGGGTAAACAAACCCTGCATCGGTCACACAACAGCAGCTCTAGAGCTGGTCTGACCTGGTTTATTTTCTTTCGACTAATTATTTTGTCCTCCCAACACAGAGCAGGAAGACAAGCAGGCTCTGTGATACTTTGCCTGTGCTTTAATATCATTTCTTCCCCCACTGGAGGCAACATGGACACCTTGCCAGCCTTCCCCAGAATGCAACGATATGAGGAGCTCAAGAATTGTCTCCAGCCACTCATGGGGAACAGCTGATGCTACAGAGGACTGGCAAACGCAAAGCCTGTCTTTGAAAAATAAGGGGACGGGGATAAGGAGGATGCAGGAAATTCTAGAATAATCAGCCTAACTTCAGTTGAAGTGCTTAGAAGACGAGGAGAACTTGAGCAAGAACTAACCTCTGTTTATCAAGAACAAATCACATAAAATCTATCATATTTCTTTCTGCAACAGGGTGCCGGCACTTGTAGGAAGGGGAGAAGAGACAAAGATTTCGGAGAGACCTCTAATAGTGCCTCACAGGACATCCCCCTGACACAGCAAGGGACACAGGGGCTGGACTGAGCCACCTGAAGGTGGGTGTACCCCTGCTGAGAAGACCACCAGCAACCTGGTTGCTGGTCTTCGAGCACAAACTGGGAGGACCTTACCAAAGTGGGTTTGAGGAGAACCCATCCCATATCTGATACCACTCGGTGTTTTCATCCACATCTCGGCCAACGGCAAAGAAAACAAGCCGATTGCCTTTGAAGGCTACACCAAGCTGAGAAGGACTGCAAGCACGCAGGAGGACAGGATCAGAATTCAAAACAACCCTGACACTTCAGAAGAAGCAGTCTGGAAAAAAAAAAAAAAAAAGGACGCAGTTCAACAAGGACAAGCGTGAGGTAATGCGATTTGGTAAGAATAATTAACCAGGCAAACACAGGATGAGGAATGAAAAGCTGTAAAAGTTCTGGAGAAGAATGGCTGAAGGGCCAATGGGGTAAAAAAAGAATTAAACACAAGTCATCTGTGGCAACAGTAGAAAGCAAACACCCTGGGATGTATAAACAGGATCAATGTATGTAAAAGACCTGAAGTAATTATTTTTTCTTCTAAGCAAAACTAAGGCAGTGACTTCAGTCCTGCACTGTGGGTCAAGCATCACTCCTCATGAAGGATGATGGTCCAGAGGAGAGCAACAAGAACAACTGCAGATCAAGAGTACGTGACCTAAAAAGAATGATGAAAGGATGGTCTAATCTGTATCAGCAGGGACTAAGGGGAGACACGGTAGCAACTTCCAAATATCTAACAGGCTCCTGCAAAGAAGGCAGGAAGGGACTTTTCTCCCTGTGCCCAATAACTGGAAAAAAGACGAGCAAACTGAAGGAAAAGACATTTCTGTTCAGATCCTAAGAAAAATCTAATGGCAGGGCTGCTAAATGTCAGATTGTCCAGGGAGCTTAGGCAGCTCTGTCATGGGAGGATTTTAAGAATGAATACGACAAACATCTGTCAGGAAGGGGCTAGTTATCGCCGACCCTGCATAGGGGCAGGAGATGGACGGAATGACCTCTCAAGGTCTTCTCCAGCTCTGTTCTGAATAACAGCCTGATACGTAAATGACCATAATAGCCGGAAACCTGCTGTGCTGACACAGCCTGACCCGTGTTATTTGTGACCTGTTGTAGTGATCGCTGTTTGCCAGAGACAATCTGTTGCTGAGGCATCTCAGGGAGCATCCTACCAAGGAGGACAGGGACAGTGGTACCCCAAGGTTATTATTTTGGCACTTGAACCAGCAACGGAGAAAAGCCACTTGTTAAAAAACTAGAAGTGAGTCAAAGGATGACACAAAGGATGACAAAGGCTGCCCAGCGGGGTTGGCCACCCCGCTTCCCAAACCAGGAGCCCGCACGGCTCCTCAGGCTGGTTTCACTTCACTGACAGGAGGGAGCTACGAGCAAAGCGACCGCTCAGCAGTAACCACAAGAAAGCAGCTCCCGGAGCTCCCCTCTGCCCCTGCACAACTCGCCACGGTTCAGCATTTCTGCCTAAAAGCTCACACAACGCTGGCCGTGATGGTGCAAATATTTTGTCCTGTTAAAAATCTCACCAACAGAAGTTGACTGATCCACCGGAGGTACCCCTGCACCACAAATGCCCAGCACCCACACCTCTGCGGGGAGGCAGCTCCGGTGGGATTTACACCACGTCAGCAGCACGACAGGAGAGCCCTTCGGCTGACGAAGGAGGCAGAGGAGTCCAAGCAGCCACCCCTCAGGCACCCACAGCTGCCAGGAGATGATGGCACGTCCCAGGCGCTCCTGCCCTGCTGGGCTGGAGGAGCATCTACAGGGGCTTGTGCCATCCCACCCATCGGAGCCAAAAAACTCTCCCCCAGTGCCATCCCAGCCCCGACACCAGCCTTGCACCACGAGAAGCTGCACCTTGTGATAGTGCACGATGTGCCACAGGGCTTCAAGGCCATCAGGTCACATCTGACACCCAGCAAAAGCTGCTCCTCACCTGTAGCACGGAGAGATGCTGGTACGGTGAGTGGGAAGAGAGGGTCAAGGGCTGGACAGCCTGACTGCCTGCCCTCATCGACCCCTAAAACTGCAGGAACTGGAAGAGCTGAGTGACCAGCACGGGCGTGAGAGGTTGCACGCCCATCCACGAGAGAGACGCACAATTCCAAAGCAACCACCAGAATCGTCCTCCAGGCCAGGATAAACCCGATGCGCTGCTTTTAGCAAGTGACAGGATGGGGGAAAAGCAACTATTATGTTGTCAGGGAAGAAAAACAGCGGCGAGCATCTCCCCGACACCTCTGGGGGATTCCCCCGCCGCCTCGGCGGGATGGGACCCTGCACCCCTGCTTTGCAGCCACCTCCTGGGGGCAAAACCAGCCCCGAGGTCTCAGTGCCAAGCAGCCCTCGCACCCGTCCCACATGCGCTGAAGTTTCGGGACTCAGCACCGAGCCCCAGAAGCCGTGTGCGGTGCGGTGAGGGCAGCGCAGCTCAGATTCCCCCCCCCC